AAAAAGAGAATGTCAGCTTACAAGCAAGAGTTTCAGCAAGCACTTTTTCTGTTCCTATTAGTTGGCTTGCAATAAAAGACAATTTTTATGAAAGCAACAGAATAAATAATATATTTTATTATTGCATTTAACGTTGTTTCAAGCATGTTCTTGTTTGATATTAAGATCTACTCTTAGCCTACTTGACATTGTATATTAGGTTCTTAGTTTCAAAGATTTGTCAAGAAACTCCAGAGAAACCGTTGGCATCTCGCGTAACTCAGCTGGTGACTACATAAGTAAGTCATCAACTTCGTAAAGGTAACAGGAGTTCAGAAAATAAATGAGCATGTAGCAAGTGCATAAACGTTATTCATCTCACGGACTCATGAGGCACAATGCGTATGAGTTACATTCGTGTAGAAGATAGAGTAGAGTTTAAACTGCAGTTCGATTACAGGCAGTTCCTTTTTCTTTGTATCAACGTCCATACCGGTTCTAGGGCCCACGTACCTAGCCTTCTATCCAATGGATCTCTAGGTTATTTTCTCTGAGTTAAAGTGGTCATCTAATACCAAGGTTATGATTACATGGGTTTATTCCTTTACTTCCTCGTACGTCTCCATGGCGTGGTGCTTAGTTAAATACTAGCGATATCTTTGACTTTACTATGTTTTCTTCAGTCTTTGTTGTTGTTTTTTTGTAGGCGTGATAGTTGTAATCTTTGTACGGCTCGCTGCTGATTTGTGTCGCTTAAGGTTCCTAAAGTTCGCCATCATATCAAGATGAATGCATGGAAAGAAATACTACAGTGCTATAAACCTACATTTCTATTTTTTTAAACCAACGAAATTTGGTGACTTATGAAGAATACGAACTCGTAGAGCCAAAACTCGTTCGTATTAGAATTCCAACACTTCCTATCACACTTTTACAACCCAGCTCTTTATTGAAGACATGAGCAGCTGTCGAAATCTGGATGAATAAAAAAGAAGTAATTTCGAAACTTTTTCTTTGCCTCTATTTCAGGAATGCTAAAATATATCAGGGTATAAAAACTTACCTTCAGTTAGCTCCCAGTAGGCTATATATAAGGGGAAAATTACTTTAACCAGGAAAAGAAGAATATGTGTATAAGAAGGGTAAGAGAATCACTTTACTGTATATTTATGCGTACTTTAACTGCTACTGAAAGCACAGATATTGAATGTGACACACGGATTGTATCCTTAGGGAGAATTTTACATGTTATCGTTCGAAACCAGGAACTCAATAGATTTCCATTATATATCTTACGCAGATGGAATGAATGAAAAACGAAATACAAGGCAGAACTCCTTGTTACCGAGTATCTTCCACAGACGCTTGTCTGCCAGTGCGACTGTTGTAAAGATTTGCAGTTGAGTATCGTGGAACCCAATCGTCTTAACATATGTTACAATGTACTGCGTACGCAGAGTCATCTATAGAAATTTGCCTTTTCAATACAAGTTTATTTTGTGACTCATGATAATCATGTTTCCAAAAATTATTTAAAACGTGTGTAAGTTGATCATAATTGTTCGGCGACTTGGCCATTAAATTGCCGGGTTCGGCAACAGGACGTTGCTGTGAAAGGTCTTTTGACTCTACGAGTACGTAGATACAGACTCGAGAATATTTCATTTAAATATTATTAGGCGTTAAATGTATCATTGTCTTATATCCGTGGTACATTTTTCACGATAAATTGTTTTCGATAAATTTATACTGGAGACTTAAGCAGGAGAAGATTAGTTTCCAAACAAACTTTAGGAACCCCAGAAGATTTAATTGAAACCCCTGCGATAGTTGTGAAAATGAAACATTCCAAAGAGCTGCCCTTTCATTAGCTTCGGAAGTTTTTTTTTAAATTGTCAATTTCAATTTGTTATGGTTCATTGTGAGAATAAAAGACAGTCATGTCTCTTTTGGTATGTCGATGTTTCTCCTGTTCATCATCTTGTGATCTGATGGACGAGGAGATCCAGCGTACGCGCTGTCGGACAGAAATCGAGCCGAGATTGCTCGTGTCAAGGGTGGAAATTTCTTTCGTACCACATTGCTGTCTTTGTTTAGGTGGCTGAGTGTGTTAGTGAGGGAAATAACCAGTTTATGATGTGTGTCGTGAATCATCATGGGCCTACCTTGTACTCAAATATACATTATTATCTCGCAGACGGATGATATCTGGAAGAAATATAAATAATATTTCAAGAAATACAATTTACAATCGAGCTTAATTCCGAATTTCTGCATTTAAGTTGAACATTTTTTAGTAGTAATGTCACATCCGTAGATGTTCCTAAGACTTTTTGTGTCATCAGATTTTGATCCTAAATTTACTATTTTATTACACACGACCCAACACCACTAACTAGTTCCACGACGCCGAGTTGTTCTCTGAACGTTTATAGTCGCTCAGCTGGTCAAGACATTTCGAACGCTATTTATGGAACCCAAATGTTCATTGCAGTGTTCACCATTGTACTCTATGCATCTGAAAATGGGAGGTGATAATAATTATGTTGAGATACTCCTGTAGCTTTTGCATTCGAAACAAATTATAAGCGTAGGCTATAAAGCCTCAATAAAATCTTCTAGGGCAATCAGCCGCGTTAACTGCTTACCGTACCGACGTTTCGGGAACTAACTCTGTCCCCGTCACCAGGGTTCTGATGTGACTGGATACCTCGAATGTAACACCTGTAACAACTGTGTTACAGACGACTTCCGAGGTATCCAGTCACATCAGAACCCTGACGATGGTGACAGAGTTGATTCTCGAAACGTCGGTTTACTACGGTAATCAGTTAACGCGGCTGATTGCCCGAGAAGATTTTATTGATTGTACTCGCCGCGAAAGTCTCAAGACCTATATAAAACCTCAGTTTTGATTGTTACAATTCTGCAATTTTGACAGAGGTATTTTATAGGTTTGTGCCTACATCATCAGTCCATAAGAATGTTGAGACAGTTTTTTCATCCATATCCTGCCTTCGCCAGATACTATCATCCTCCCATGTCATTCTACGATGTACGTAAGTATTATACAAGTATGTATACCTGAGAACTTCCTCCATGGGTCGTATAGCTATATCTAAGTGTTGGAAGTTGTGCTACAAGATTCTTGGAATTCGCGTACGTTTTAAGAGTGTTGCAAACTTAATCACAGTAGATTCTCACTGCAGACGAAGTTCTGCATGCGCAAACTTAATGACCTAAACATCTCGTTCCTTCTTTAATCTTCTAGGAGGCCCCATCACCCACTCGTTCCCACCCAAACCTTTCTTCCCCGACGTAGCTATACGTAACAGTTTCGAGCGGAGAAGTAAAATCCTGCGTCGTTCGTATCCTGAGCATCACTCATACGGAATCGGATTAACTTCTTCCTGACAAGTCCCGCCTCTGTAGTCTCGTCTTATACTTATATCAGCTCTGTATATTAGCCAACTGTTGGGATGAAATATTACCTTCTCTCTTCATAGCACACTTCATATGTTTTAAGTCGCATATTTTATAATGAAGTATTTTCATCTGTGGCATTTTTCATGTTGCCTTTGTTTTTAATAAAATCGTCAATAGGCTGGAGGATTAAACCACCGGAGGTTTAGGTATACGTTTTCTTAATTTTCAGCAAATGTGTTTGTTTTACTAATATCATGGAACGACTTTTCTGTTGGTAATAAATTACACGAATATTTATTATCCTTGAATGCTGAAGATCGTCGAAGTAACCTTGCATATAAAGTTGAAATTGTGGGTGTATGTGTTTTTCACTTACATCTCAAGAATGGGTTCACCGATTTGCGCCAAACGTGGCATGCTTGTTTCTAGGGACCAGGAAGACAACACAAGAAGATCAAAACTCTGGAAAATATTTACTTATTTAGAAAATTTGTTTCTGTTTTGTTTCTTGTCGTTTCTTCCTGACTAAAGTTTTTTATTTGTTTCTTATCGCCGTCATGTGTGCTACATGACCCACCCATCTTAATTTTCTTGAGTTAATCAATACAGTGGCGAACACTACAAATTGTGAAGCTGTTTAGTACGTAATTAACTTTATCCCGTTGTAGTCCTCCATCTTACGTCTACGTCTTCTCCCTAGCACTTTTTGACACCTTTAGTATGTGTTTTCCTTAGGCGTGAGAGACCTATTTTCACGCCCATAATAATATGTTTATGAAATGTATGTCTTTGTAAAACGGTGTTACGAAAAATTGTATTATATTTTGTCATGGAAGTAAAAATCTATTTCTCTGGGATTTTCCTTCGAATTTTAATAACTTATCAAGAGGAAAAGTATAAATAATTTCTTTTAACATTCCCAGATAGGCTGCTTATTAATTTTCCTAGCTGTCTTTTGTGTATTCCACACCAAAACGTATTCCGTATTATGTCATTTTTAAAATTCAGCTTTTTTACGTCAGGTTTCGTCAGTATGATCCGAGGCAAAATGAACATCTTGGCCACAAAAGTTTGGAATAAATTGCTTATAACATCTTTGATCGTTTACAATATAAGTTGGTTACCCCAAAATTTTAAATTTTAACTGAAGTAATATTTTTCCAACACGATACGTAAGTCAAACTTTCTTAAGTAAATTACGTGTTGGATACTTGTAATGCATAAACACGTGTAAGCCTTTGAGTGGGCTACTGTGAACAATTGTATTAAATTTAAAGCTTTTGAAAACTATCTTACTTTTTATTTCGTTTTACAATTTCAATGTATAAATCACTCAAATTATTCGTACAGCGTAGTGTTTACATTTATCACCATACTCAAAATTAACTGTATATTTGTAAGAGCACAAATTTTAATGTGTTATAAAAATCTAAATATTCTTTTTAAATATTATGGTGGATTTACACATTGTTAAGCAACGCCCGTTTTGTAGGCTACTTACTAACGTTTATGGGCAAATATCACAACACATATACATACATGCATCCTACTGATAGCATTATGGATCACTAAAATCATGTTTTCTTCTCTTCCAGGTGAGGTGCACTTTATATGCTGTCCCTCGAAGACTCCATGGTCTAAATATGGTAAAGTACCATTACTCCTATCTTTAGGCCACTATTTTAAGGTTAGAACAAGAATTTCGTCGCTGGGGTTGTGAGTCATTTGTGAAAAAGGTCTTTGTTTCCGTCATTAGTCTCCATCGATATATTTAAAACTTGATTAAAAGCATTGAGTAATTTATTTCAGAAATAACTACTCCGGTCATTTCTGGGTAGGCAGAAGTAACAATTGAACGAGTTTCCTTTCATATTTGGTAGCTGACAAAAGATATGGCAGCCTTTGAAAATATATAGAACGACGTATAAATCGTAGAAGAAGAAATCTATGACAGCTGCAGTGCGGGCGTCGTAACGCAGCTAAAATTAAGCGATACACAAACCATGTTCTTTTATTTGGTACAACAAAAGAAGAAGCATTTTGTAACATCTCTCCACTAATAAGAGTAAAAAAAGTTTTATAGAAACAAGAGAAACTACTTTATATCACTTCTGGGAATCGCAGACATTGATTTTTGGGTCTTCTTCGACAGCATTGAAAGAAACGGGTCGAAGACAGTGCTGAAGAATAAGTATAAATCCATCCAGCCCAAGGCAGTTTTCTGAATGATGGTCACACGTTTTATCAGACCAACGCACACAAGTTATCTATGATTTCTGGCTCCGCGATATACTTAATTTATATTTACAAACCCCTCCGTCTGTGTTCTGTACTTCACGTGAAAAACCAGGTTTCTCACCCATACAAAGCGGCAGGTAACATTATAATTTTCTTTATCAGATATTTAATTTTATTTACAGCAGGCAGGAAGACAAAAAGATTTTGAACTACATGGTAATAAATTAATTCCCTCGTAAATTCAGTTTTGATCTCCCACCACGCAAACATTGTTTTAATATATTTTACTCATTGTTATAACAATAAATTATAAACAGCGTGCTATTAATTACTTTCACTAGATATGTCATTCTTATGCCTGCTTCTTTTATTTGGCGGCCATTTTCCCTTACAATTAAGATATTCTCTTCCTACCGCATAACGCGAGGATCAGTCTTTGGAAAGGTGTTTGTCACCGGGGACTATAAATTTTTGACAGATTCATTGAGCACAGATTGAGTCTAGTAAACTGAACCCCTTCAGCTGGATATTTCATTACTCGTAATGCTTCGGTTAACACCGCATAATAATTACTCTTGAAGCTGTATGTAAACGAACTTCGGATGTAGGTCAGTGATTTTGCTTAAGAATTATCGGAGCGTAGGTTCTTTTGTTTGTCAGAGTTGAAAGCAACCTTTGAAAGTGAGAAAGAATGAACAGTCGCAGTGGCAGGTTGTCAGTTTGCTTCAAAAGTATTTGTAATGTAATTAATCAAATGTTTGATGCATACGTGCTCAGAAATATCTGAGGTTTTACCTGTTCCTCAGAACATTTTGCATGGCGCTTCGCTATAGCGTTGACCTCTGTGAGGTTCATTTTGCTTCCAGGTTGATTATGTCACTAAAATGAGAAGCAATATAGGCATGTCGCATTTTAAGAGCGAAACCAACTTTCCATTAGTGTATTAACCGCGCTGATGAAAAGCAGGTCCTGTTCTCTTCTTCCCCCTGCCCCCTCTTCCTACCGGCTGCAGACAATATCCTCCGTCCGTGATTATTCCTTTCTGCTACACAGCATCCCGACTGAGAAGTAGTTTGCTCTATGAGCTCTAAATTTAATTCCTTTTTTGTTACTCTGTGTAAAGGCAAACTTAGATTAGTGCGTCCAGTTTTTAGCCTTTCTTTCGCTTTTTATGGTACAGTTAAACTGCCTATAACGGAACCCGGTTAAAACGGAAAAATGCCTTCGTTGGATTTTTTTTTTGGTCTCGATAATACAAAGTGAAATACAACGTGAAACACCTTTAACAAGCAGAAATTTTGTATCATGGACACACATACTAAAATATTACTACAAATGGTCAGCTTTAATATTTGTTATTTTCCTTTTAATATAATTTTTTACTCGTTGAGAAGGAAAATTTCTTTCACAGAAACTGAATCTGGCCATATGCAGGTGTGAGAAATACTCGCACATCATCTAGTCAAGTAAAATTTAATGCTTTGTTCTCCATAAGTTTTGGTGACAATAGGAATTTCGTATTCTGCAGGTCCCGGCTCAAATTTTGACCCGGAGACCGGCTATCCTGACTGGGGGTTTCCAATCAAATGCCGGGAGAGTATCTTAAATTAGGCCACAACCGCTTCCTCCCACATTCACGTCTTCTCATCCGACGCTATATAGTCTGATAAATTGATACATGTTTGCATTTTCATCATCTAATCACCGTTTTATCACTCCTATAATGCCCCTTCCCCCAGTTTAGGCAAGTGACCTTGTAGTACGGTTTAAAAATGATTGCTATTTCCAAGACTTTTACCTACAAAATCTGCAGAAAATAGTTATTAAAATAATTAAACACCTGGTCAGAATAGTAAATTAATATTTTGTTTGGCACATCTGTGAGGTGAGTCTGCAGTCTGTATCAATTATTGCGCATTGCTTTTAAGTCACGTCATTGTAGTTTTGAAAGCTTTCACGGTGATCAAAAACAATGAAGTCTTCTCAGTCAATCAGCTGTGTCAGAATGACGTTGTAATCCAACGTTTCAGAGACTTACATTGTCTGACGTTAACCCGGATGGTGGAGGCGGAGACAGTCTCTTAAAGGTTAGATTACAATGCCGTTCTCGCACCGCTCATAGACTGAGATTATACTGAATCAACGTCTTTGTTTCTGGAGATGTGAAGTGAAAAGTATCCGATCCTTCCAATTTCTTATGGAACATTGACTTTTTAGATCAGACACATTACAAATAAAACTTATTTCAATCAGACGGGGTTGCACACATTTCTGGCGTTTCTGTAAATAATTTATTTTCATACGTTCAAGGGAATTGTTTGGTCGGGACGCTTGGACTCCAATCATATTATATTATTGTAATCAAGAAAGTTCCTGTAAATGTAGCTCAGAATTTAGTACAGCTACGTGAAAAACTGTTTGCTGCCGGAAACATACAAGATTAAAGATAGTGTTCTTAAAGTTTTAAATACATATTTCGACACTCTTGTTTATCAATAATCAAAAACTGTGTTTTAAAATGTTATTCCTTCAAGAACTGAGGCTTGATGTTTATCCTATAGAACTCTAGTAAAAATTAAACTCGAAATTCGGTATATACGAGTATATAAGTGCACCAAATTATATCTAAAGCCACTTCAGCTGAATTTATATGACGGAGGCAGTATGACCTCAGATACGTTGGTTAACATCTACCAGAATACACAGCGCAACAACCCAGAAGACAGAAATCTTGATATATATACTACAGATGAACGACATCTGGAGTGGACTAATAGACAGGGCGATGTTAATAGGCGATTCCAGCATAAATAAATGTGTGTAAAGCAGGTAATCATTATGTATTAATACATATTTCCCCACTTTCTAACTGCATTTTGCCGAATTTACTATTACTGGGTTTTAGATAACTTCGCCGCAGTCTGCGCTCTCTCTTTTCTACAGCGCTGTTGGAGTTTGCCCTCAGACGGCCGTCCATTTTGTTTGCCAGAACAATCGACTGCTGTCTAAAAGAAAAACTGTTCAGTCAATATTTACAGTTGCACGCATTTCCTTCTTGAAATGCAAAGTTGACTTTTATGAGAATATTCATTAATCTTAAATTATGAGGATTTCATTCTAATCTGAAAGGACTGTCATTACAAAGATGTTTCTATACAAAGCCTTCCTCAGTTTGGTCAAATTAATTAAATGCCATTTTATAGTCTGGAATTTCTGTCCCTTGCATGGCCGTCAGTGTAAAGGACTATGTCGGTATCAGGGTAGTTTCTGTGCTTCAAATCAGCCTAATCACTACAGAAAAGACATTGTTTTTTCTTATGGAACTGTTGTACTTTATTTTAAACAAGGAGTAAGAATTTTGTAGAAGGTATAACCTGTTTGAAATACTTTCTTCCTTCCTTACTAAAACTGCTAGTAGAAATACTTCTTATTGAATCCGGTCGCTTTATTACCATAGTTTGTTGGCTATACTCTAAATTGTCTAACTCACTCTTAGGCTTCATTTAATTAGGTTTTTCTGCGGTAATATTAAGACATACGACATTTTGGAGCACTCAACGGCATGTAGAAAGTTTAATTCATTGTGCCACAGTGGAGAAGGCCTATTCGTAGCCATAAAACCACGATTTATTGGAACTGTATGAAAAACTCGCGAAATCAGTTCATTTTTATTTTTATTTTTTAAATAAACTTGTTTGGGAACGGGATTTACTTTTTATTGGTTTCCGCAAGAGAAAAACAAAATTATTTTGCCTCCAGATACTGATATCTTTAAAGTTTCCCTCAATTTCTCCATTTTTAGGATGGAGTGCTTTCTTTCCATTTTAATGTTTGTTTGCAATTGCACCATTTCCATGTCTTTTTCTGTCGCTCTATGCTGTTTTGCTATACATTCATACTGCTTACACATTCTCCCATTCAAAAGGCCTTGTATTTTGTCTATTTATGCTTTCATACTATTTTCATATAGTATACGCTTTTGCTGTTAGTACCAGGAGGCCTACGTGTTACAAAGAAACAAAATTAACCTAAATACTGAACATCCTGACAGTAGAAAGTGGAACCAAAGATATCAAAGGAGATAATTTATGTCGTAATAATTGCTATTGAAGTTGATAAGGATGGTTTCATGTTTAAAGTGTGTGAATAAGAAGCACTCACATTTCTTAACAGATTGTTTTTAAATGCAATACCCTGAATTATTCCGGTTTCATTCTTGTTGAAAATTGTATTCTCGAATATAGACCCGGTACCCACCGTGAGCTCTGTAGACATTCTGTTCTTGAATTAAGGTACCAAATATTTTACAGGTGCCCTTTTGTGTGTTTCAGTGGAAATAATTTTCTTTCTTTCCACTTCCTGACTGTACTTTTGTGCTCTTCATTCTGATGACCAAAATTTCACAAAT